TGTAATGTCATAGAATCGAATTAATGAATATAATTGTGATGCAAAGTATGACATTAAAACAAATCGAATTAAATTTTCCTCTATGATTTCATTGTTAAGAATTTAAGTTATTAAGAAAAGTTTAGTACATGATTTATGTACTAAATATACTAATATTACTTGTAACTAAACATCTTTCAAAATTTTTATATATGTTTGACAAATCACAGAAGAGATAAATATCTAGCTCTTATTAGTGTACTTGGACAGGTGCAAAAAAAAAATAGATAATTCAAATATTCAAATATATTCACACTGTGATATTATTATAAGTATACGCCATTTCTTTCTAGTAAAGTAAACGATTCTTAATAAATAATTACTATTTCAGAGAATGTGGATTAGAGTTCTCAAATCGGGAAGCTCTAAATTTGCACCAAAGGTTACATACTGGCGATCGAACACTTGTTACGGACCTTTGTGGATTAGCAGCTGCCTTTCAGCAAACTCCAGCACATTTTCTTACCCCAAACACTCCAGGAGCACATCAAGTAATGATCACTATTTACCTAGTCATTTATATAGTACACATAATTAATTTAATGTTTTTAATTTATCTCTAAATAATAAAATTTGACAAATTTGAATTGTTTGTTTTTAGCATTAAAGATACTTCAGTATTTTAAATAATAACTGTAACAATCTCTGTACTCAGAATGTGAAATATGCAAATTATAAATAATGTATTTTTAGATGAACGGGCCGATAGGAACGCCTGGTGTGAGTCATATGCATGGCGCGACACAAACATCACCACCAGTGGGTACAGGACCAAAACCTAAGCCACACATTTGTCCTGATTGCGGCCGTGGTTTCGCACAAAAACACGGCTTGTCGCAGCATCAACGACGTCACACAGATGGTAGTTGCCATATAAGATCACATGTATGCGATAAATGCGGCAAAGCTTTCTTCCAAAAGAATCATTTGTTACTACATCAACGTCAGCATATGGATCCACCACCAAGTATACTTAGGCAACAACAAAGACAAGCTGCCCAAGCCGCAGCTCAGCAAGCGCAACAGCAGCAAGTGCAACAGCAAGCGCAGCAACAAGTTCAACAGCAACAGCAGCAACAACAGCAGCAGGTGCAACAAGTTCAGCAGCAACAGCAACCGCAGCAACCGCAGCAACAACAGCAACCGCAGCAACAGCAGCAGCAAACGTGTACCGTTGATACGAAAACGATTCAACTACAGGCAATACAGCAGCAAGTACAGCAGGTGCAACAGCAAGTGCAGCAGCAACAGCAGCAGCAACAGCAGCAGCAGCAGCAACAACAGCAGCAGCAGCAGCAACAGCAGCAGCAACAACAACAGCAGCAACAGCAAACATGTTCTGTGGACGCTAAAGCAATACAATTGAACGTCACCATGTGAGACGGTATAAAGATGAGGGACTGGAGAGTCCTTGAAACAATAGCACTCCCAAATGCGCACCCTGCTGCCACCCTCTGCACACACTTCTCTTGTACTAACAATACACGTTAGATATATATTTATTATCTCTAGATTCAAAAATAATAATCAATTTTATTACAAAAATAGGAATATACAAAGAATATACATATATATACACTATATTCTAATTAATATAAGGCTTGTAACAAGAAAACAAATAACCATATATTAGTGTTTTACATATACTTTATAAATATACAAATATAAAAATATATAAATATATAAATATATAAATATATACTCTAGACATGTAAAATGAAAATAACAAATTAGTTGCCTTAACGAGAAGAAGAATTTTAATGAACATATTAACTATTATGTTTGGTGATTTTTTCATTTACTTTTATTTAGTAGAACGTCACTTTATAAGAAAACACATATTGAATAAATCAAGATAAAAAAATAAGTTCGCCGTGTATCGCTGCTTTGTTATCCTTTTCAATGTGTTTGTTCGATGGTAATTGAAAGGAAATAATCAATGTACGCGAACAGTAAGAGAGTAATAGAAAGGGGGAAAATTCTGTAAACAAGTTCTGGCAAAAGGAGAGAGGGTGGCAGACATTGCGCATTTATGAAGCATTTTTAAAGCTTAGATCTATACAAGATAGCATTTTAGACCCGCGCAATTTATATTTTTACGTTAAATAGTACGAACGAATTGTTCGTTAAATTTTAGAAATACGTAAGAATCCCGGTTTTATAAGATCCAAATATCAATAAATGGATGTAAATGTTTTTCGTGAGGAATTAACGCGATGTATGGACATCATCTTTATATACAAGAAATTAAAATGCATCTATTAGTTTTACATTAGTAAAGTATAAAAGGAATAAGATTAATACATGTATTTATTTGATACGTGCATTAATCTTTTTATACGTACACTTCGCGTTTAGAATCCCAAGAAGCCTTTCCACGTGCTTAATTGTCTTCTACGATTAAAATATTTTCTCCACGATAATAAAGTGCGCGTCGCGTGCAGTTATACGTGTGAGATTGCTTAGCGGGCTCTTCTAATAAAATGCAGATTTAATTTTTGTTAGCAAGAATATATTAACTAATAATATAGCTAGAAAATCGGAAGAAATACGAATAAAGGTTTCCTACATAGTTTTAATACGTATCTCTTTCTTTTTTTTAATAACGTAGAGCTCTGCCGTACCGATATCCGTAACATCCGTGTACATAAAGTTTAAAGTGCAAATTTATGTATGATCAATGAATGTCAGCTTTTCTGCCTCTTTTTGTCTTAAACAAAATTGTGTAGATGTTAATTATTTTTTATTTTTTTTTTCTTTCAGCTCACGTATTGAAACTTCAAAACTATTTTTTAAATCGCCCCATCTTTCTTTTTTGTTTCATTATTAAATAATATAATGCTCCATAAAGAGAGAGAGAAAGAGAGAGAGAGATAGAGAGAGAGAGAGAGAGAGAGAGAGAGATAGAGAGAGAGATAGAGAGAGATAGAGAAAGAGAGAATACTTTGGACACACTACATCGGTAAAAGTAAGTACGTATCGCATGAATCATAATACATGAATCTATACGCTTGATTAATTATATATACATTAATTATATACAATTATATATATAATGTTTAGAATCATATCCAATCGATCAAAAAAAAGTTCGTACATATATGTATTTTATTTTTGTTAATGTATAAAAGCTATATATGAGAAAAAAGATTCAAATTATACAACTTTTTCATTAATCTAATATTTTTTTTAATATACAAACCGATATATATATATATTTTGTCGTTTTATATAAAAAAACGTATAGTAAAGTTGGCAACGTAGATATAATGCGTGAAATTTGGTGTTAATCGATTTTAGAACATCAAAGAAGATTTATTCTAAATGTATTATTTACTGTAGTTTTATAAATCTGAGAATGACTATGGTATTCTCAAATTTTAATAATTCTAATACAAAATTTATGTCAAAATAAACAAACAATACGTAAAGTTTTGCATAGTTTTTATTTGAGTCTTCGATTTTTTTAAAATCAAGATAAATTAAAATACCTTTCAAATTTTTCGTAAAAGATTGACACCATATTTCTCGCAAAAAAATATCATTAAATGCGCGCTTTTCGTCATTTGAATTGTACGAAGATGGTAATATGAATATGCGAACAAAAATATGCATTAATCGAAATAAAAAGAAAGCTTCAGGATTGCAATAACTCAGAAATAATATTTTTTTTAAGTAGTACGCAAGATACTGTAATTATAATTATCCCATACAGCACACTTTTATACATCCTGGGAATGTCCTTAGGACACACCTCTCCTGCAGGTTTTTTTTTTGTGTGCGTGAGTGTATATGTGTTGTGTGTGAATATATATCTAAGTGTGTATGGAATATTTTTAAACAATGGTTCTCTTTGAAAAACCTGCACTGTTCAATCGGACCTAGGTAAGAAAGCATCATGATTAGAATAAAGGAACAATTGTAAATGCAATATTTGTTTTGTAAATCTTTTTTAAAAAAAAAAGTAGTGACATCTCGTTGCATATTGCATGGAGAATCAATTATGCAATTTCGAAAGAACGCTTAATATATCGATTAATTCAATACATGTCGATATTTTGCGAACGTCAAGTTCATGAATCACCATCACCATCATTGTGAAGTTGTGAAGTTATGCGTGAAATTATAATCGTGCCTAACGTCATACGCTATAATGTCAGTCTCGTGTTAAAAAATGTTTTTCGCCTGCATTTGTATTACAAGTAACATAAGAATTAAAAAAAAAAAACAGTTTTATATATAAATCGCAATGAAGCCAGTTTATCAAACGTAAATGATTAATATGCAATCAAATATTTAAATTTCTCAGAGCAATAAAAGAAAATTCGCTTTAATGCTGAACACACATTCGAAATTTAAAATGCCTTACGTTCTAAAATAACGATTGAAACGCCCGAATATCAAAGTTAAGATGCAATAAATAAAATAAATTCCACAAGATTTTTTGGAAAAATAAAAAGAAAGAATAATTAAGATTCAGACTTTGAAAAAAAAAAGCAAAGATTAGTAATATATGTATAGTCGAAGATTGAAGAGAGGATAGTCTATGTAGATATTTTCTCATAACATTTTCGTGATATAACTCGATGGAAACGACAAATATTGATTTAAATGTATGTGCGCATATATAGGTATATATATACGAGTGATAACATCGCGATAAAAGTTACAATGTGAAATGGATCGTAGTTTTTAATAAAAGAGAAAAGAAAAAAAAACCGTATATCACTGAGCACACTGTGGAGCAGCCCGTTAAGCCCGTACAACACATTAAATACGCGGGCATATTCGTCGATTTGCGACACCAAGCGCAATCGAGTGACATTTCGAATGAGAGACACGTCGCGCGCTCCAGCGGTGATGTCCGTAACCGACGGGCGGCGTCGGGGCGGGGGGGGGGGGGGGGGGGGAGGGTCATCGTATGCGCGATTTCGCCTGCGGACGAACCGAAATAAATCGAACGACGCCGAGTCGATCAGCGGGTACGGCGTAAACGGATAAACGGCGTTCGCAGGACGTGCGCGTTTCGCGTTAGTGATGATCAAAACGGACCGTCGACCACGCCGTGATCGCTCGTGGCACGACAGCACGCAGACGAGACAGCCGTGATCCGCGTTACGTGCCCCGTGTTACGAGTCGCGAGGCAGAGGGAAGATCGAGAACCCGCGTCGTCGTCGCGCTCCGCCGCAGCGGTCACGGATGCATATGGAGGTACGTGATAAGAGCCTCGTCCCGTCGACGCTCCGCTACTTTACTCCGGTCTTTGTTTACTTGAAGAAAAGAAAAAAAAATAAAAATAAAAAAATAAAAGGAAAGAGTGCCTCCGCGATTTCGCGACACGCTCTGACGCGACGGACGCGGCTCTGCTCCGCGACGCGACGCTACGGCGACGCGACGCAATACGACGACGCTCTATTACGACGACACACAGGGCTATCGCGAGATAGTCGCGACGTCGGAGCGCGCTTTACGTCGCGATCAGTAAACGGATTTTCCTCGCCGTACGCCATCAGTTCGCTCTGATGACCATGCCGTCGTCGAGCATTGTGCGGCCTATAAGTTGGAACCATATAGTTACGTACTCCATACTTGTCCGTCTCTCTCCAACTACGTATGATATTGTTTTTCGAATCAGATTCGGTAAAAGGGACGCACACCTTCCTCCGCGAACAGGAGGCGAGAATCGTCAACGTCTTCGCACGACGATATATTCCGGGGGGAGGGATAGCCCCGCGGTTAAAGCATCGGGTTTGTGTACGTTCTCAGCTGATGGGGCCTGTCAGCTGCCTCGTTCGTCGTGCCTCGCTCTCCGCCTCACCCCCTCGCTGCATTTCGGCCTCGCCTCTGCGACTTCATCTCTCGCCTACACCTCGTCTCGTCTCGCTTTTCCTTCTAGCCTCCTCACCTCGTCGCTCGCCGCGGCGGATTAACGATCCACGATTCTTCTTCCGCCGGGCGCGGTGTGGCTCGCTCCGATTTTCTCAAACGATATGCCTTTCGTTGCCCATGACGTGCATCGCGCGCGCGACGCGAACCATATAATGTACCTCGTGTGTGTTTATAAGCGCGAGAGAGAGAAGCCGCGCGCGCTTCGTTCGTTTTTATTGAGAAAATCCCACGATATTTCAGGACTGCGTAGCCGAGTGTTTACGCGACGCGATACAACACGTCTTCGAATTCCTCGATGATGTTTCAACCTTTCCCTCCCTCGGGCCTTCTTTCGATCGGGATACACGAGAGCTACGTTCGATCGAATACGGTATACGCAAAGTGGACTTGTCTAGACATCGATTGCGTCCGTCGCGCGTTAGCTCCTGTTTACCCTCTTCGCTGTTTATTTCTCTTCCGACGCGCGTATATAACAGATCTCGCACACGTACGCGCGCATATATATATGCATCCGATAAATGACACGAATATATACGTATTGTCGTCAGATAATGCGCATCGGCTTGTTTGTATACATTCACAGCTGATTCAACGCGTCATGTCGTAAAAAATGTCAAACAAACATCTGGGGTGATTATCACGCGTGCTCTCTTTCTCTCTCTATCTATCTATCCGTCTATCTATCTATCTATCTATCTATCTTGTTGTTGGTATATTTCGTTCGCGCGGACGCTCGAATTTTGCCACTCTATTACATACGTCGCAACTATTTTCATTACAACTTTTCGCAATTGTTCCTTTTTCCGAAAATTCGACATGACTTTTGACTCTTAAGTTCGTGTAGATTGGGTTCCATCTACGATGGAAAAACAATCCAATATTTCATGGAACCATGAATGTTGAAGGATTTTGAATTCGCATCCGAAACGAATTCAAAAGACGAGTCCCTCGTCCCGTTATGCAAGATATTGCAAGAGATTCTGTTTTCCAAACTATTTGTATATATACCTATCGCTGAGGATGGCCTCAAATGTGGCCGAAACGTTTGAGTATTAAAGCAAGTTAAATATATAATCTGTGTCGAACTTTTACTAGTCGTAAGTTGTGAATTTCCGCGCCAAGTACTCTCATTTGTTCTGTTTTCCTTTTATTTTAGAATTTTGAGAGTCCTCTTATCGAGCACTTTGCTTGAATGTAGAATATTCATAATGGCTGTAGAATAGGAAAACGATCAGAATGCACGACGAACGACAAAATTAATTAAATCTGAATCAATTAGAAGAAACACACGGCAGACACTTCATTATGCCCGATTCTCTTTATTTAATTTGCGTCGTGAAAGTCTTTTATTTTTTTTTTTCTTAACTAGACTTATAATATATAATATGAATAATAGACGCACCATAATGATAATAATCCAATCGACGATCAGTTACTTAGAACGTAACTAAAAAGAAATTGAATTATTTTTGGTAACGGAAAAGCCTCTTCATCGTATCGGTGCGATCGATCGCTCACAATCACTCGATCGCTTCGCGTTCGAGAGGAACGACGAGAGGAACGGGGGAGAGAGAGAGAGAGAGAGAGAGAGTCCGCGACGGAATTGCAGCGCGAGATGTCCTTGCGTGTGCCGAGTGTCTCGGATGCGACATTTGTACACGCGACTCGATCGAACGTGGCGTCGTGGCGCGCGTGAACCTGTTGGACAACGGTTTTGTGTACATTTACAGCTGACTGGACTATCAGCTGACTGCGCGCGACGGAATCGCCGTGCCACGCCGCGCCGCGCCGCGCGCGCCTGCTCCGCTTACCGTCCTCGTCTCCCTGTTGCACGTATTCCTTTCTTCGTTTCTGCCGAAAAATTCGACGAGTCCTTCCTTCCTCGAGCTAATCTCGTAGAATATCTATACGTACTATCTGCATCTTTCACCTGGATTGAAAATTTTCTTGCAATCTTTCTTCTTTCACGTCGAGGAACGCCACGCCTTTTTCTTGCCGCTTTATTCCCGGTTTTTTGTCTTCGACAATTTTCCTCGTCATAATGATGTATACCTATAGTCATCCAAATTAGCGTCTCGATTACAGCCCGTCACAATTCTTTCCATTGTTGGAGCATTATCGGTACATACGATCTATTCTACGAATATCTTCACGAAATTGCTGGCTTATTAAAACAATTGCATATCTTTCATTATGCTCGAGATACGTTTATCGATTCTGATTTAGATCGACAACGATAATCGGATTGGAACTCTTTAGAATCTCCCGTGTACCCTCGATTATCTTCTTATCCTTGCGCCGTAATCAGTGCGTTACGATCGCGAGAGGGCAATGGCTCTCTCGTCGTCCACTCGATCCTCGTTTGTAATGTAGCTAATGCGGGGTGAAGGGGTTTACGACTCGGGTAAATTCTCTTGTATAGAAGGCGGTTTATAAATAACTTAGGGGGCAAAGCCCCCTACTTCGGCCCACGGTCGTCAACCCCTCGCTCACTCCTCTCCGGTTCGTTTGAGACTATAGAAGCCGTCTTTTCGCAAAAGCATCGATCCACGTCGCCGAGATTCTTATGTTTAATAAGAACAATTATTTTTGTCAATCGTTATATAATACTATTACGTGGATTGTCCAGTAAAATTTTATACGATCCGACAAGGAAAGTCGACTGTTTGAAAAAGTGAATTGCGAATATGCAGCAAAATGATCTTTTTTTTAACGAGTCTTTTTACTTTTTAGTTTTTAATCTCTCGAAGCCGGACGAGGCTTATAGTCTCGTGACGAGCTGTCGAGACAATTGTCGTTCGCGCATACTTGCGCGATAAGAGTAAAAAAAAAAAGATGCCGTTGCGTCTACAATAAGTAGCAATGACCTTGAGAGGTATATTGACTCGAAAGTCCCGTCTCTCTTTGTTCTCGAACATCCGTTAGGAAACCCGTTCCCATACGTTTTCGCTGTTCTCTTCTCTCTTCGCCGAGCCGCAGTAAGGATATAGGATCGAATTCGATACGTACTCGTGCGAATCCGAGCAAATTCCGATACGCGACCCCGACACTTCCGCCCAACGGAGTTGGATTACCGCTTACAAAGACTATATCTACCTCGTAACCCGAACGGGGCCAATTTTGAACATGAAGGAAAGAAACGGATAAGTCTACGATCGAATCCCAGCGAGAGATGATCGCGAAATCATCGCTTCGATCGGTATATAGGCATCTCGTGGGAAATACGTGATTAGCATTTAACTAAGAGTCTGGCATCCGTTCTAAAAAAGGATAAGCGGAGTACGCGCGGTACTGCCCGTCCCGCATACAGAGAAAGCCTCTATCTTTAACGATTCATAATAACGTCCTTGTCTCTTTGTTTGAACGCGCGCCAGCACGTGGCGGTACATATCAGTCGATATGCAGCAGTACATCGATGCAATTGCCTTTGCTTTGAAAGCATACGTTGTTTTGTTTTCACACGTCATTTCCGTACCTGTCATCGTGCTCCTTGTGTGTCGCTAGTTATTTTTTGCGAAACAAAGAGATAAATTTAATTATTCTTACTTGTTGATAATATTTATGGATTTGAAGTAAAATTTTGCAAACGTGACGTGTTTTATATGAAACGACCGATGATACATTAATCTACGTTATATATTAATTGTTTTGTTATTTCTAATTATTTCAATTTAGGTGTCGCCGTTAATGCAATTTAGAGACGGCCACTAACAAATTCATCGCGTAATTTACGAGGTGCGATCGATATACTGTCGGCACGAAACGTGTGTATCGTGAAAATTGCAGCGAGCTATAATAGTGCTTCCCGAATGTCAAATTGTTATCGTAAACACCTACTCAGTACTCGTCTTACGTTATATTAAGTTGTTCGAAAAGTTCGTTTAAAATTTTCTGACTCAAAATAGTATATTGTACATTGAAAAAGTTATACCATTCGATAGAGCAAAGTTTCAGCTTTGAGAATTTATCTAATTTCTTAATTGCGGTACGATGATTTTTAACGGAATTATGAGCAATTAAAATCAAAAAGCTCCTTTACTCAACTCGCGAATAACTCAGGAACAAAAACAAATCGTAGGAACATTTAAAAAAAAAATGATAATTTTTTGGGAAATCTTCAAACTTACGTGGTAGTCGAAAATTTTCGCAAATTTTTTTTAGATCCACAAAGTGTGGATCTTTTCAGCTCATAGTTTTTTATATGTAAAAATTACCGAACTCACAGAAAATCAAAAATATAGTAACCTTTCGAAAGTAAAGACTTCAAGCTTTAAAACCCTCTTTTTAAATTTAAACGCGGTCATAATTTCGTTATGATACCTAAGAGAGACTTCTTTTCTCGTTTACGCGATTATACTTCCCTGCGAAAGAAAAATAAAATAATTGTCTCGCGTGGTCCCGTTAGAACGAGAATCGATACGAAATGAAAATCGACGTGACCGTCGCCTTTTTTTTAGTCTCTAGCATAATCTTCTTGTTTTACAGGTGTCCCCGAACCGGCGCTGTCTGAACCAGCTCAACAGCTGATCGGAGCACGAAGCGGTGGTGAACGGGGCTACTATCGCACCACCACCCCGCGTTTCGGAGAAATTCAGTCTCGTGTCATCTAGGTAAAAAATAAAAAAAAAAAGTCTCGTAAATCTCTTGGCGAAGAAAGAGATCTTATTCTTCACCTGACACGAGAAGAATAGCAGCAAGGGCGAAGTGTGTTTTCGCTCGCTTGGACACGCCATCATGGTGAAAACTTTTCAAGCGTACCTACCTTCCTGTCACCGCACTTACTCGTGCATTCACTGCCGTGCTCATCTCGCCAATCACGACGAACTCATCTCTAAGGTAAGCCGTACCTTCTATGACAAAATCCCTTGTATTCTTCTCCGACTGAAGATTTTTAATCGTCGCGAGTATATGATGGATCTTATGAACGTCGAAGAAACTTGTCAGCGTGTTTAGCTGATTTCGACTTTTTTGAAAAATAATCAAAGTGTAATAAAACAATTTTTTTTAGATTTTTAAACTTCATTTCTCTATTTTTCCTAAAGCAAGGAAACTTACTTTTGGACCAATCCTCGTATATTAACCAATATTATACAAATGTTGATGAGAAAAGAGAAAACTTATACATTTCGAAGTTTGATACAAGATCTTATGATTGTTCATTTTTTAACATTATAATGTAGTGTATCTACAGTAAGTAATCAGGCAGTTATTATAGGACTTGAAAAGACTTCTTTTAATTAGTTTTTCCGTTTCAATTTATTAATATTATAGATTCGGTGATATGCGAAACGATTGAAAGATCGAAGTATTTTGTTATTACACTGAGGAAAAAAAATTTGATTCAACTAAATTGGCGGTCACGGGCTGTCAAGCAAATATTTTGTTAGTCACAATATTAATGTATTTGGGTCAAATACGCAGTAGTACATTGTACAATGACTTATTTATTTCGACAGGACATATCTTTGAATTAACAAAATATTTGCTTGACAGCCCGTGACCGCCAATTTAGTTGAGTCAACTACTCTTTTTCTCAGTGTATCGGTTATATTTTGCTAAATAATGAAACAGGCTAATCTCAAAAGAATCTATTAAGGTACAGAGATACAAAACTACAGCCAGAATTTCACGTCTCAATCGAAAACGTAAATAAATAGTTCTATAATAACTAATAATAGAAAAAAACTCAATGTCTCTCTTTATCATGTATATTAATGATATAAATTTTGTTTTACATTTTCAGTCCTTCCAGGGCAGTCAAGGTCGTGCCTATCTCTTTAATTCTGTGTAAGTATAATTAATGTGTGTGATGAAAATAGAACAACTTTGAAGATCTTTGGCATTGGCTATCTTTATAACACGTGCATATAGAATGTTCTAGAATTCTATTTTTATTCTTTTGAATTATTAATATAATTTTTCGATTAAGCCAAAACTTATTATTTTACTTATTTTTCCTTTAAATTTGATCCAATACTTTTTTGTTTTCTATATTTAACATCTTCGTATACGTATAATATAATGGTTTATTTTAATAGTTATAACACTATATAGGAAAACACTATTGTAAAGATAAATGAAAAATAAGGTGTCTACGTTTTATTTTATCTTACAAATTTAATTTTTTAAGTTATTTAATTTGAAAACCAAATCAATAATTTCTCGTTGTTTTACAATAGTATAATAAACATAAATAAAATTGAAGTAAATATTCTTCTTTATCTTTTAATTTTTTAGTAATAATTGGAATTTGAGGATATTCTTTGTATGTTTTGTGTCGACATCGATCGATACGTATACATATAACACGGAACATATATGACAAAAATGGAAAAATGATAATTACGTTACGTAGGGTGAACGTAGGTTGCGGCCCCGCGGAGGAGCGAGTTCTGTTAACTGGATTGCACGCTGTCGCTGATATCTATTGCGAGTGCTGCAAAACCACTTTAGGATGGAAATATGTTAGTTATCCGTTATCTTAAATTAGTCGTAAATAAAAAGAAAGTTTATGATGTTTACGTTATTAATAATTGTCTACTGATGTTTTTGTAGGAGCATGCGTTTGAGTCAAGTCAGAAATATAAGGAAGGAAAATTTATAATCGAACTTGCCCATATGATTAAGGAGAATGGATGGGAATGAAAAGCAGAGGGGAATAGAAGAATTCCCTGTGCCTCTCATCAAACTTTTCCTGATGACGCCTACAACGTTGTTCTAATTGCAATGTACGGCCCCTCTCTATTCGAACCACCAACGAAAGTCTGTGATTTCATTTGTGATTTATAATCTTAGTAATCTTCGTTTCGGACAATTCAAACACAACATCGGTTTGCTTCTGATCAAATCGAGCAAGCAAAGGTATCACGGCGATCTGTATTCGTCGATGGACACATCACCAAGTATTGTAAAGAAATTATTTTTCAATGGAAGAAAAAAGTAGAGTAAGATGACAATGTCAAATAATGGTGGAACATGACGATGAAGGTGCCATGGTGGAAATAGAAAAGCGAGATTGCTCGGTACGAGCAGTGGGGTGCCCCCCCCTCCCTAATTTTGATTCATTATCTTTGTAGACATTGCGTGCAGTCGTGTGTCGACACTGAATGTTAAAAATTAAACGTGCGGGGCACCCCGACAATCAGTTTTATCTGTTTTACGCACCGGAACAGCGGAAGTGCTACAGACTTTGCTGGACTGATTGCCTGCCTGCCGCGTCTGTCATTGGAATTTCACTGCCGATATTCCTAATATTAATTAAGAATGCTACGCCGTATTTAGACGGCGTAGTGGTAGTCCTAGTTTAGCATACATTATAGAGTACTAAAGCCTATGTTACATAATTATAGGACTTTATGGATGTAGAAAATAGGAATGAATAAGAATAATGAAGACAAGAAGAGAAGAAGAAGAAAGGAAAAGAGAATTTGAGCGAATGAAAGTGAGAGAGAGAGAGAGAGAAAAAAAAGAGTGAGTTGGGAGAGAGAGGGGGATATACAAGAAAAAGTTTGGTTAAACGTTACGTGTACATGTTTGGTTTTATGTTCATCATGCCTGCCAAACTGTCTGTTTATCTGCCAGTTGCCACTGTTATTACAGTAGGATCCTATTGTAATATGTTTACGTTTTCATCGGCTGAATAGAATGTGGTGTGATTGAAGTTTTTGTTGTAAAGTCTTGAAACTGCGCCTTCCTTGTGTGTGTGTGCGTGTGTGTGTGTGTGTGTGTGTGTTATGTGTGTGCACGCAATATCTGAAATATAAAAAAGGGTGATTGTACTCGTTTTCGTGAATATCTCAATATCACTGATAAATATTTTATAAGATCCAACTGTATTTACGGATTGTTAGTAATGACAGTCGCGATCCTATAAAAAGATAATTTCACTGAGGATGGACTTTATCACCAAACTTTCGATTACACAAATTTGCAATCGAATATCTGTAACAAAGTTGTCGCTTCTTCTACTACGTTGATACGTTTTCGTGCAATGTAGTCTTTGCGTGAGAAATTTTTCCTCAAAATATCAATTATAGAGGCTGTTTATATACGAATGTATCAGTTATGATGTATTCCTTGACAAGCTCTTCCGTTGCTATCTTCTTGTTACGTTTATTAATAAGACATTTAAATAAAATTCATAGAATTAATGGCGTCGAGAGCGCTTATTAGAAAATCAGATAAATACAAGTTGTGTCTATGCATGATATACTTAACGACTGAACTGATAATTAAATAAATTGTATAAATTGTTGTGTAATGATATTAATTGTTAATTGTTTAATTAACAAGAAGGTAGCTTTATTGTATTTATTGCATTAAGCGATAATCTGTTTATATTGTATAAAGTACTTTGAATGATATCAGTGATCTTCGTTTGCACTGTTTTCCACTAGAAAATTATATATAGACAAATCATACGTTTAGCTTTCAAGTGCATACATATGAAAGTGCAGTGTATTTGTGCAGCGTATGTAGAAAAATGTTTGCCTATCTATCTGTTCGACAGATTGACCGACTGATCGACCGAATGAATAATGAATGAATGAACAAATTAATGAATGATTGTGTCGGCCTAATATTCACGCTGTCACTCAAAGAGTACTTTTTATATTAATGTGCTGATATCCTTATCCGCACTCACCTTTTCGGAACCTTGTTAAAATGTATCTATCAACACTAACTCTGTAGTATTCAGCCTCCACAACTTCCACTATCACAAGATTTTGCTTTGTAAAACGTGTTCTTAATAAAAGAAAAAAGAAGATACAAAACATTGAAGATAATTTGAACATATTGTCTAAATTTTATAAGATAATTATATAATTTATTAATAACTATATTAATAATTATAATTATTTATAAGTATGTATATCAATTAACTATAAATTTTATATAGATATGTAAATTAAATATAAATTTTCTCATTACATTAAAATATTTCTTAATGAAAATAGAAAGATAAAAATCAATCAGTTTGAGTGCGGATATAGATGCACAGTTTTTTGAAAAAGATCATAAAGGAAGAATGACAGGTAAGTCAGTACATTAATGTTCCAGTCCACTTGTATATAGTTCTCGATATAATTTCCTAATTTTTTTATTTGTTAATCTATACTGTTTACAAATAATTTAGCATTGACATCTTTAGCGCTCAATTTCAAATAAGGCCGTCTCGTTTAGCGCATGCGCTTTTTATTGTCAATGTCGCCAATGTATAGCGAGTGCGCTACTTGTTCTTCCACTATAAAGTTCCTATTCCTATTTCACTCATGCAATTGCATGCATCATGCATATACATACATGATCGACGACAATGGATTCCGCTATGGTCATTTGATCGTCTCCTGTTAGCGTTAGGTTCTTATAATTGTTTTTTTTTTTGTTCACTTTTTGTTTATTGTGAGCAAATTTTTATTCGTCGTTATTACGTATATTTGTTAGACACAAAAGTTAAGCTAAGCACACTGCCTATTATTTTAGAATTAATGATGAAAAACGCAAAGGCCAAAAATTCAAGGTAATCAAAGTCGTGAAATTTTTAATGATAAGTATGTAATAACATTGTGTATGATGTCATTTGCTAATTACAACAGGAGTTTACTTACGACTTATCGAAATGAAGCACTCCGCGATTTGCATTTTTTTTTTCAAATTGATTTCTTTTTTTTGCATTACATTTTACTTATAATACGAACTTTTGCAGAACTTGCTTGGGACAGAACTTTAGCGATCAATGTGGATTATTTGACGTTGTCGTTCGACCGATGCTACAGCAGGGGCACGAGGGAGAATTATGCAGTTGGTTGAAAGAAATGAGTTTGATTTGTACAGTCTCCAACTGTCCTCATGCGGATTGTAAAGGACGAAGTTTAATATGGAACCCTGCAAGAATTGTAGACAAATATATTTGGTCTTGTCCTGACTGTATGAGAAAACAGTCCATAAGGGAGAAGTCTTTCTTTCTTGGAATTAAATGTGATCTGAAAATGTGCCTTCAACTGATATTAGGATGGTGTCAAAAAATTCCTTTTGAAGATACCTCTTCTTATATAGGTTCTTATATTTATATAAATATTTCATAATAATCAGGATAATATATAGCATTAAATGCATGTGCATGTTATTGCAGATGTAAAGAAACATGTTGCAAGAAAGATATATGAGCGGTGTGACGAAGTTTCTGCAATTTATGTTAAAAAACATCCAGAGGATTGGTTATTAGGTAGCGAAGGTGCAATATTAATTGTGGATGAATTTCCTGGTGGTTATATGATGGAACATCAGCCAGATATAAATTCTACCAAGAAACGTAATAATAATTTGCACACAATAATATGTGTCGCAGAAGCAAATACTATACCACCTCGCATATGGTTACATATGATTGAGGCTATACCAGAGGTAATATTTTAATAGAAATTACTTTAATTATAAGAAAAATATATCAATATTATTCTATTTATATATAAACTAATTACCACTGCCTTATTACTTCAAATTATTTAAATTGTATAATTTTTGTAGCCACAAAAAATGGACAAACTACAAACAGGAGTTGATAAGAGTAACATGGTAAAAGAAGCTTTAAAAGAAATTACAAGGCATATAATACCAGGAAGTTATATAGTAGCAAATGATCGTGCTCGTTGCTGCAGTTATGAATCTTTACAGAGTCTGAGGCAATACAAAATTATCAGTGTCGAACAGCTACAGAAGTTCGATCCACCTGGTAAAAATAAACTCCTTAACAATCTCGGTAATTACTTTTTTAATGACATAATATTTTTGTATGTTGATCTCTCTATATATAGATAGTTTTCGTGTAATTTTTTCTTTTGTATTTTAAGAAACGATTTGGCAAAGTGCGATTGAAATTTGTGAAGAAGTTCAAGAAGCTACTCATACATCGGGCCAACATATCATTGCTAGGCATTTGTGGAGACAAAAATTTGGTGTATCACCTTCTTCCGCGTTTCAAGATATGTTGAATCACATTGCGGAATATTATCGATTTTCTTAAAGTTTGGCACAAATATTGAAATCAACATTACTATCGCTGTCACATATGACAAAATATTTTTTTTTATCGATTTATTATCGATTTTTTTAAAGTTTGACACAAATATTGAAGTCAGCATTACTATCGCTGTCACATATGACAAAGTATTTTTTTTTTTTTTCAAAATAATACTACATTTCTTTATTTCTTTTTGACTATACAAAATGAATATCAAAAACTAGTTTAAATATTTCAAATTATATACAAGTTGCCTTATTAGATCAAATATAAATATAAATGTATGTGGATATATGAGTCGTTTTTTTTTGAAGGTGTAAGTCTAATTAAAAAAAAAAAATAGATCAATGCCAGTTTTAATTAAACATAGATTTTATGTTTAACTACAACTGGCATTAACTCATTTTTGTTTAATTGGACTTATACCACTTTCAAAAAAGAACAGCTCATATGTATTCCATAAAACTCATTTTTATTTGTAAATAGTAAAGTTATAAATGATTATATCATTAAGTCTTCCAAGTATTATAAGATATTATTCATTATATAAAATTAAATATTGATAATAATTGTTGATTCATTAGAATTATATAATGAAAAAAGATGGATTTGAATATGCTAAGAAAGCGAGGTACAATTGTGAAAAGTTAAATCTTAAAACATTTTATCTTTAATAATGCTAATATTGGCAGAAACTATATATTAAAAGACTGACGTTGACTCTACTAATATTATGTTAAAATAATTTTGAATCCAATAGAGCAATATTAGAGTAAATATAAAACTATAATAATATGTATCTGTAACAGGATACTAAGTATTTTAATCTTAGATAAACCTCTTGTTTTTCTTAATATCTTCAAAAATATTTAAAAACGCACAAAATTAAATTTATGATATAACTTTATACATATATATATTTTTTACAATATATTTCTCTATTTTAAAATTACATGTTGAGAAATTGTTTTGTTTTTATCTTAAAGTTTTTCTCCTTAGCTTTCACACTTATGCAATTAATATAAAACGAGAAATAAAGATAGAAGATATTATGTGATAATTTCATATGATTATGTGAGATTATTCAAATGTAAGTAGTAAGAAAGTAGTGTAAATGGAGATATTTGCAGAAAGAAATATTTAGAATAGAGAAATTTTGTATTATTTTCATACACATGTTTGTTATATAATATTCTTTAGCTTTATTGTTGGATATAATTTTATATCTATAAAAAACTTGAGTAAATTTTTGCAGTATTTATACTGTATAATCTGTTTACAATCTATCGATTGCCATAAAAATTATAAATAAAATTAAAAAAAATAAAAATGTTATGCATTTCTTAATGTATTCTTTATTTTCCCCATAAAAAAAATTTAGATATATAACTTAATATTGTTTAAAACGTAAACATGTTTTGTTCTTGAATTTTTATTGGATAATTTATAATTGTTAATAAATAGAAAAAATTAAATAATAATAATTTATTTATATTTCTACCTTTTTAAAAAAGAAATATATATATAAAAAAAAAAGATAATGGATAATACAAACTAAAATATATATAGGAAAAATTTATATATAATATTTTACTGTACTATCTATATGAAAGTAAATGTTACAACAAAATGCTAACAAAAATTTAACTTGTAGAACATTGAGTTCAATTTTCAATTTGATGTAATATAAAACAAAAAAAAATATATGAGGGGGCACCCGGGTTTGAACCGGGGACCTCTCGATCTGCAGTCGAATGCTCTACCACTGAGCTATACCCCCAACTGTCTAACTTTCTCGAACATATACTTTTCCGTAAATACGTACTTCTTAAAAGAGATACTATTATATTTATTAAGTATATAATTGAAAAAAATTTCGATTATATACAATACATATTTCGAAATAACAATTGTTCCCTCACAACAGTCATTATTAACTTGGATCTCTTTATCTAAAAAAAAATTTTTCAATTATTATTTAAGTGGTAATTTTTAATAATTAATTTTAATTTTATCTAGAATACGGAATTTGTAAAAAATATAAATCTTATCAATATATATATAATATTGTTATTTTTATTAATTAAATTATCATTGGATTTTTTTTATATTTTAACAATTTTTCAAGCTCTTCGTTTAAAAATATAAACTTTGAACTTGACACCACTTAATTTTTAACGTTTTAAATTAAAACATAGTTAAAAAATCTTTCGTACTTGTTTGATAAAATAAATATGTTTTTGTTGACACATTTCTGAGACGCGGTGGTATCTAAGCAACCTTTATGTGAACTTGCTCGTAGTAATGCGGAGCGTTCAGTGCTTTTCCCACCCTCTAAAGGTACGTTTCAGCGTCGCCATAACGAGTCAACCTCGTGGCCGAAGTAACATTTGACAATCAAACTTTGACTTTTGAATTCTGGCGCCAAAATAATGAGTAAACCACCAAATTTAGTTGCGTAATTTACATAAAACGAGGTATAAGTAAGTACATCAAATATACATATTGAATATTCTACTAGAATGATCGACTAAATTCTTGCATATTGTTCCAATGACATCATATGAATGTACATATTTACATCATTAATATTGTTCAATTTCGCATTATTCTATTTTTCATTTTAATTTATTCATTTAATTATTTCTCCAATATTTTATTTAATGTAAAAATGATACGATTTTTTATTAATTATGTAAATTTATATTAATAATTTATATTTTTATTTCAACTTTTGTGCTTGAAATATATAATTTATTAATTTATAAAAATTTATAATTATTTTATCTATTTATTACGTACCTCTATTGTTAAAGTTCTTAAAAATACAAGGAATAAACAATAAAAATCATAAGATCTGTATCTCTTTTCAACAAAAGTTAAGTTTTTAAGTATTTTAATATGAGACATGGACTTTTATCATGCTCAAGTAATAATAAATTTAGTTATTACTTTCTCTTATCGCGGTAAAAGTTAAAACAAAGAGAGAAATAATTTATGAATTATTAAATACATTTTATTTTTTCATTTGCTTCCTTCATATTGTATTAAAAATATATACAGCATAAGAATGCGAATAATACCGTTTCATTTGTTAACTTTTATGAGTAAATGCACGTGATATGTATGCACTGCTGTGTTTCGATCGATTACCAATTTGGATCTCGTAAACAATAAACACGTGTGATACATCAAAGGTGCACGTAACGCGAAAAGACAGAGACGTTACGGTTAAATATTCATGATGCAATATCACGAAAAACGAAGGTCTCGGCGAATTATTAACGGAGCAATAACGGATCGATTGTAAATTAACGAAAATAACGATTTTCAGTCATCGCCGCGTTACGGCGCGAGTTCGTTGCACGTATCTATGTATGAAAGCACGTATGTGTATATATATCTTTTGCACGAAGCTATGAACTATAATATACATATATATATAAAATCTTACTTATACTCTCACTTGCGCGGCTGTTTCTAATCGACATAGACGCAATTTTTCTTCATTAGAAACGTCGAGATATTTACTTCGTTAATTAATAACTAATGCAATATGTTTTTAAAAAGTTCATGCTTGATAAAATTTTGTTATTAATTTTAAACAGACTTTACTTATTAATAAGATTCTTAATGTCAATCTTATTTGCGTAAAAGATACTCAAAGTTAAGATACAAGCTAAAGATAACTAAGAATGCAAGCTTCAAATTTATTTATTGATTTACTTTAGAACTCTATTACAAATCTAATTTATAAAATTATAACAAATCGTCCCTCTCATTGAAATAGATAATAATAATAAAGTTGAAAAATATTGGACTGATTAATACAATCAATTAACTTGTCATCTCTTTGTAACAAATATTAATATTAATTATAAACATAACGTAAATATAAAAGTATTGTTTAAATGGATAAACCAAGTTATATATAAAGGACAAATTAAATTAATCAGATTATAAAAAAAGAATAACGATAGTTTAATCCCTCCGGATCTAAAAGACACATCATATCGCGACTTTTATAATAGTTAAATAGTCCCTTGGTACTAAGAATGCGTTCGGGGGTAGCAACTGTTAGTGCTATTTAGCATCATATATTCTATCTTTGTTTCACGTATAATGCACGATAAAGATAGAATGACACAAATAGCTTTAATAGCGTCTTGCCGAACGCATCCTATAAGTAATTGGGTTCCCGATGATGGCTCGTACGATCAACGCGAGGTGAAGATTAGAATTTGACACGTGACGACCTTGCCGTGCGGTATCAGCCATTACATGGTTCTTTATAGGTATTCCCGTGCTGCCCGTGTTGTGGCCGTTGGTTTCTATGGTAGCGAGTGACCTGGTCAGTTCACCACGTGGTCAGTACCTGAACTTTGATTTAGAATCGAAAATTTGGGTCGTACCCTAATGAATGCTTATTTCAGGATGCGGAGCATCGTTACAGACTTTACGGCAACGTCGTCCTTCGCGCGCACAGATACATAAATCGATAGTTTCATTTTTACGACACGGAGCTCTCCATTTATTATCGCAGCGTGCTGCGAGACACCTGGAATTTACCTATTCATCAGCTCGTGTAACATACATATACACGAGTATGCACACACGTGCGTGTACATCTATATTTTTCTCTTGCATAAGTCCATCTTATAGGCTCTGTTGGCATCGAAGCCAAACTCGTTGAAATTTCAAACACCACCCCCGCGTGTACACGCCCGCGCGCGATGGACGCTTTCGACCGAATTTCTTTCGCGCACCGATCTACTTCGCTGCTCGGGTCAAGAGACTAGACGTCCTCCTCGGCGCGATGGGTTCGATCCGTCGAGAGGTCCGGAGATGTTTCCGCGCGGCCGGTCGGAGTAGTCGCGAGTAGGTGCCAGAGACGGGCATGGACACTAAGACTCCGCCGATTCCGCTCAAGTCGCAGGAGAAGCCTCAACCGAGAAAAGCGGATCGCGTGGCCGACGTGTCCTTGCCCCCGCTGACACCACATCCGAATCATCGCTCGTCGAAACACAGATCGTCCGGGACGTCGCAAGATCCACCCTGCGCTGTGCAGCATCAGGATCATCGCAAGAGGAGACCCTATAGGTAGAGACGCGTTCGATATTGATTTTCTCTTCCGAACTTACTTAAATTTGCTCTTCTATTTTTGTCCACAAGTCAATCTGGTTGACGGACGGAATTCAACACGATATTCATCGAATGATTGACGTTAGAGACGAGTAATACGTTCTTGCGATTAGTAATGCAATCGGAATTGATATTCCATATGTGAATAAAACATGTTCGGTATATATTTTTTTTTATACATTACACATTTCACTTAAAACGTTACAAAAATATGTAAAATTTTTTAAACTCGAGATTTTGTTAAGCAAAAAAAAAAAAAATGATGTAAATAAAAAAGGTCAAAAAACACTAAGAGCACTAAACTAGTTTTTCATCAATAAAATATGTTCAACGAGGAATCGTAATAAAGCTTTTCTTAATATTATAAACGCCAGAAAAGAAACACATTATACACAATAACGAAACGTGATGTCCCCCTTCTTCTCCTCCTTAGAAAAACGCACTGTTTCAGAGTGTTACACATCGGCGCTACGCCTTTAATGCACGCCTGTCAACAGGGTGACAGGGCGAGAGTGTTGAGATTATTGAGGGAACAGGAGGAAACGACAGCTTACAGAGATCGTACGTTGAGAAACGCCCTCCATTATTGCATGGACGCGGGTACCGGTGGTGCCGTTGCCGCGGCGGCACCAGAACTGGTGAACGCTCCTGATGCCGAGGGGCACACCCCGCTTCATCTCGCGGTCATCGCCGGGGACACTCAGCTGGTCGCGGTTCTCTTAGCGAACGGTGCCGATGTCAACGCTAAGGACCTCGAGGGACACAGCGTTCTCCATTGGGCCACTGGTACTTCTCGCTATTGCCTCTGACGTATATACCTTTCCTTGACCTCGGTCTTGGAAACTGTACAAATTACTTTTCTCTTTTCCCTTCAACTTTTAGTTCTTTGAATTAATAAACGTTATCGAGCGTATCATTTATATCGTTAATATACCTTTATTTTAGAGATAGGCAGATTCCTTGAATTCTTGTGATCTTCGACAGTTATTCGCAATCGTCGCTTATATTTATAAGACTGTCATAAATCAATCACGAAGTAGCGTTAGCATTTTGAGACTTTATATTTGAGACAAATCTTGAAACAAGAACTAACCGTGAATGCCGATCTTAAATTTCTGCTTTGCTTTGACAAAAACCGATTACATTAAGTGATTATTCCCTCGTTTGTTGAGCCTGTATAAATGCGCAGCGAATTAGCCAGACAAGACGAATCAATGTAAATAAACGTCGTCAATTTAATTGTTTGGTCATCTTTAACAATAGATGCTTTTTCGTTTACAAGTGTGAATATACATATAATCGAGATACGTATACATCTGACTAATACAACGAATAAAACAACGCTGCACGCGCGCGCGTTTGCAAGCTTCATATACAATTGAAATCCAAGGACTTCTATCGTACGGTCAGTCGCTGAAACGATCGCGATATGCTTTCTCGCGTGATCGCTAACGGACGTTACTCAGAACGACCTACTAACCTTCCTTGACCATTACGGCACGTCGTTTCCCCGGTGATCGGAAGGAACGATACCGCGCGGCCTGCATTTCAGTCTGTCATCCACTTTTAAGAAAACTTTAAATGTACGGTTCAAACGGACAGTTTGACCTTCCGAGAAAGAGAAAAAAAAAACAGAAAAAAGTAATAAAAAAATTATAACAATAACGATTGAAAAAACTTACGAAACACAGAATAATAATAATTATTATGCATTCATATAATAGCTTCAGTTACTGAAAAAGAACATTAGAGAAATCTGAGGCTAAACATCTGCGGACTCGAGAAAATTCATCTAGTGATACTATATATTTGATAAATTTGTCCTAAATCGTAATTATTGTATTTCCCATTGTTTTTCATCGTTCCTTTTCCCAAAATATAAAAAAAAAAGCAATCGAAGAAATACAAAAATGATTTTTAGTCTGTGGGGAAGCGGAATGCGTTCGGTTGGTTCTCGCGGCCGGCGCGCGACCTTCCACCCCGGATTTACGTGGCGGATCTCCACTTCACTATGCCGCTCAATGTTGCGGTGCGGCTGCCACGGCTGAGCTCGCTGTTCCTAAGAAGGTCGGCTTGAAAGTTTTACAAACACTTCTCGAATTCGGCGCGGACGTGAACGCGAAGGACGAGGATGGACGGCAGCCGATTCTGTGGGCGGCAAGCGCGGGTAGCGTGGAGGCGGTGTTGGCTCTAGCAAGGTCAATCTCTTCAACGTTAGACTGCTTTTGACTTATTTGTTCCTTTAAATAATATTCAAATTTTTGTAATTTTTCATCATTAATTTTTTAATAATCGTATTGAACTTTTCACATTTTTTATTTATTTGGTAACATTGAGAAAATTAATTTTTATTCATTTAAATAATATTTTAAAATGTGACGCTACGAAAGAAATTAAGAAAGAAATTCGTTACTGTAATTCTTCATTGATTTAGAGCCGGAGGAGCCGCAGCCGCGGGTACTTCGGATAAAGACGGACTGACAGCACTTCATTGTGCAGCCTCGAGGGGCCATGCGAGATGCGTAGAAGTACTCGTCAACTTGTGCGGATCTCATCCGGACTACGTGGATGATAACGGCTGCTCCGCGTTACATTACGCCGCCACTTTGGGCCACGCGGATGCCACCGCTCTTATCCTTAAACTCGGGGCCGATCCCAATCGCCAAGATCGAAAGGGTAGAACGTAAGATTACCAAGTTTCTGGGAAATCTGGATTTTCAATCGGCCTTTCAGTATATAGATTTCAATAAATAGATTTTTAGTACACATATGAACAATGTCGGCTCATATATTGGCATTGTTTATATCGTTAGATTTGTTCTTTTGAGCCTACTTTCTCCCTCTCTCTAATTTTATTGTAAAAACTAAAAAGTATTTTGAAGAAAATTTCGTCTTTCAGACCAGCACTTTGTGCCGCAGCTAAGGGCCAGTTAGAAACCTTGAAGATCCTAACTCAGCACGGCGGGTCGCTTCACGCTAAAACCGTGCGTGGCACAGGAATAGGACACGAGGCCGTTGCGTCCGGTAGAATCGAGTTGATAAAATGGTTAGTGAAAAAAAGACCGTCGACGTTGGATATCGCTACTCACGATGGCAAGACACCTCTTCATGTCGCGGCTTTGCACGGTCATCTGGACGCGTGCAAGGTTCTCTTGGATCATGGCGCAAGAATTAATGCGGTTCTCAGAACCAGCAAGGGTAACTCGATGACTCCTCTGGACGCAGCTCTTTATAGAGGACACCGAGATTGTGCGAAACTCATTCAAATGCATGGTGGTTCTACAGTGCAGCAACTGAGAACGCATAAGACTGCACCTAACAACAAAGGTCAGATTAATTAGATATACCCGTAGAGGATATATATATATATATATATATATATATATTTTTTATATATAATTCGAAAAAAATCGGACTGACAGAATGAATATTTTTTAAATAAATAAAAATGCAACAAATATATATATTCATATTTTAAAGATTAATATTCCGATAGGGTATCCATCGCAATATATTTCAGTAATTATATAACCATACTATTATAACAAAATAAGCCATTGAAATTATTTTAGTTTTTACAGCAAAGGTCCGAATAAAACAGGACGACAGTAGCTCCGCGAGCGACAGTAGTCCTTGTAGACGAGGTCGAGGGCACAAGCATCCTGAGCTCTATTACGAAGAGCGATGGATCGAAAGAAGAACACGGCGGAAAGGTAATCTGAAAAAGCTGACTCGTCGGGACAGTCGGAGTTTTAGTGAGGAAGAAGTGCGTCTGTCGAAGATATCTTCGAAGAAGGATGACAGAAGAGCTCGAAGCGAATCGGCACGGTAAAACGGATATTGCCTCATTACGCGATGCAAAATAATGCGAAAGAAAATATAACGTTTGAAATATGATAAACCTGCCTCTTCTAGTCAATTGTTACATAAAAAAATATATGATACTTATTACTTTTATGAGTTCCTGGCATTTTATTTTTTTATTCGTGAATTTATTAATGACGATATAAAACTAGTTAATAGAATCACTGTTTCTTCTATATAAAAAGTTATATGACGAATTTTTAATAGATACGTTCTAAAAGAAATTTAGGCGGTTGAATATAAATAATTAATAGAGATGGAGAGTTGTCCGTCATCTTTTAAACACCTCTTGTATTGCACTAACAAAGGTATTGACTGCGTAAAGTATTAAATTTTTAAATTATGTATAAATCAATAGATTTGACGATAATACCACCAATGATCACAATCTGCAAAAGAAACGAAGTAGAAAAATGTCGACGAGACATAAAGAGAAATATTCGAATTCATCGTTTGAATCGGACAGTTGTGATTATTCTTACGATGACACAGAAAATGGAGCAGCCAAACATCGGCAGCATGCAAAAAAACAGCACGAGAAGGGCAAAAGCTTCAATGAAACGGAAGCGAAAAGTAACTTAAGAAAAGAAGATGATGATGATCGAAGCGTAAGCGACGACAGTTTAGAGGTGATCGTAGTGAAAAGATCATTGGAAAAAAAGTGTGAAAAAGTAGTGTCTGGAAGAAGATCGAAGACACCTAAAGAATGCACAAAGGAGACAAAACTGACCAAAACGCACAAACGTAGCTCTAGAAAAATGTCCAGATCCAGCAAGTCGAAAATATTCGATAAAGATGAATCTCCGGACAAGGAAGAAAGAAGCGTTGTAATAGAAGAGCCGAAGCATTCTTCGGCCGAAGAGGAAGGAAGTAGCAGCGAGAGGATAACAGAGTCTCGATATCGAAGAGACGCGACGGATAGTACTAGCCAGGAAACCGTGGAGCAAGTGATTGTCACAGCGATAGTTCACAAAGATCAAATGCCTGACACCCCGAGGTCAGCGCAGGAAACTACAAAGGAGATGAGTTCCGACGTTTTGAGGAAAAGCACGACAGTGATAGAGGAAACAAAGGAAACTTTCAAAGATATTGGTTTTGCAGATAAAAGTAAGGTCGCATTGCCGCATAAGATTAATACGCACGATACTTCGGAGGAAAAATTACAGCGATTAACGCAAGAAAGTTCGCAAATGAATAAAGAAGTTCAGGATGAAAAAGATAAAAGAACGATGCCACCCAGCATGGAAGATGCGAAAGAAGATGCAAATATTAACCAGATGCAAAGTAAGAATTTAAATGTAATAATTTTTTTACAAGTCCACACAGCACACTTTTTCCAAGAGACGTCCTTCATAAACATTTACAATAAATTATGAGATATTTATTGTAATATAGACGTCTTTAAAGTATTGCTTTGAAGTCTGTGCTGTAGGAAGTAAATTAAAGTATTTTTTTAAGTATATATATATAACAATTTTTCAATCATTAGAACTTAATACATTAAATGTATTTGTCAATCACTGGCTACAGTAATTTTCTTTTTAGGTACGTTAAATACGTTCGAGAGTGTAATACCGAGTGATAGCACATTGTACGAAAAGCAAGAAGCAATCGAAGGTGAGACATTTGATAAATTATCCGATTTAAACACCTCCAAATCCAGTTCTACTAAAAGTTTATTCGATAAAGAGAAAGATAGTTTTAAAATGGAAATGAAATAAGTATAAAAATACTGCAATTTCGGAGGATCAACGAAATTTTACGGTTGCAGTAAAGCATATCACGGGTCCGGATGAAGAAAGTGGAAAATCGTTAATTTCTGAAGATTCGCAGCAAGATGGAAAAATTGCCATGAAAAAAACTTTATTAGGTGCACATCAAAGTGTAAGCAACTTAAAAGAAAGTGTCGAGGGTGTACAAGTGACTTGTGAGGAAAAAGATACTGTTTCAACAAAGCAGAAAGTAATTACTAAAGAGATTATCACCAAAGATGCTGAATCCAAAGCGGACAAAGATGAAGTGAATAAACTCGGAGATAAAAAATCTTTGCAAAAAATACAGACAGATGAAACACAGGAAGCATTAACACTTACTGAACGATCAATAGACGATGATAAAGAAAACTTAGATGATTCCGCGCGTGGAAAATCCGTAGATTTATCATCAACAGAATCGAGAATTTCTATGATGAACGTGGAAGAAAGTCTTTCTCCAGAAAGGACGGGTTTACCACATGACAAAAAGTCGGGAGAACGATTAGAAACTAAAACAGGTAAATTGCCGAAATATAATTAATTAAAGTTTTAAATATTCAAAAAATTATAAAAATATAACGCAGATTCAATTTGAATTTCTGGCTAGCATTTCAAATATTATTTTGTGCAAAATTAAAAAAAAATAGATTTTACTGGCTATTGAAAAACATTTATTATGTGAATGAAACGAATTTCTCAGATTCGCGTAAAGGAGGTACGGCAGCGTCGCGCGCTTGGCTTAGCGCCGAGACACTACCGTGTCTCCAGATAATCTTTTATACACTCACATATAATTGTAACTTATAATTATGTTTTATTAAAAATGGTGCTTGTAGTCGTACTTTCAATAATACATATAGATATATAATAGCAATTTTCAATAAACAAATATCTGTCTAACAAACAAAGATTTTAGGAGATAAAGATTTTCGTTATATCGACGATAGTTCCTCGAGTTCTCCAAAGCTTTCGAGATCGGCGAAAACGAGACATTCGAGACCATCTACGGGAAAGAATCTGAGAACAGGAAAATCTTCAAAGTCATCGACCAAGAGACACCCGTTTGAAGGTGTTGAGGAGCGTTCACCTCGTCAAAGTGCGATAATCGCGGTGTTAGACAGTCCAGAATGGGATGAAGATGAAGTCGAGAAAGAAATCAGAGAAGTTCTCGGGGAGGATATTGAACACGAGACAGAACATGAAGAAGATAATGAAATTGGTGTAATGCGAGTTTTACGAAGCACTAGTGAGGAAGAGACGCCTAACACAGCTTTAGGTGTACCTAGAACTTCAAGAATTGACTCTTTGCCTCAAGTAATTAAAAAACTTACACCGTGGAAAAATTTCACTGACATTAATTCATATTTTGTAACACTTTTAGAAAAATTTCAATTTAATTTCCAGAATTTTTAACTGAAAAATTCATCTTCAGCGAACAACGAAATTTCAGGTCATTTTCAGTAATTACGCCATAAAAATTTTAAAACGTGAAACAATTTCAGCGAAATTTTTTCACCACGGATAGTTGTTAATCTCAATTTTAATTCCAAACGTGTTGTTATGGTGTATTAAATTATTTTAATATATAATAATATTTATTGTTAGTATATACAAATTTTTTCATTCAAATAAAAAACATCAGTATATTATATAATCAATAAAAATTATTAAGTTTTTTAAATTTTAATTATATGAATACAATAAATATATTAAATTTAAGTTTGATTAATTTAATCAATATCGATCGAACATTATTATTGTTAGGTACAATCAACAACTACTAACCGCTTAGTTACGATCGAGAATGCTGATGGTAGTCACCGAGAACGATTGTGGAGGAAACACCGTCGTGATAGCGGAGGTATAGACAGTGGAATAGAACCAAGCCCGAGAATATCGCGAATTCCACGGAGACGAAACATAAAATGTTGCCCAAATACAGCGAAACAGCAAGCTCTCAATATGGAAACTATTACCAGAGATGTGCAAATTAGTCTGCGTCGTTATCATCTCGAAAGAAAAATCTTCTTTCAATTGATGGAACTGAAAAGATTACAGATTCGTCACGGTAGAGCGAACGAACATGTATTGGTAAAAAGGCAGGTAAGACTGTGGAATTATTATTAATATTGTAATACAAATATGATAGAACGTTAATTTCTTCATAGAAATCATAGAAAAAAGAATTAAACGTTCCCCTGTAATTATTATTATTGACATACGTATTTCGCGAAATTTGCAGAGAAATCTTTTTCAGGTGGACGCCTTTCACAAATCGGGAATGTCTGGACCTACTCTTGGAGTTGCAAAATATGATCGGCCATTAACGTTCAGGTTTGATTATTAAATTAAATAATTTTTGCACAGAGTGTTTATACAATAGTATTTGTTATAATAGTAATTTTAATAGTATAATTAATATAACTGAATACTACGAAACTATAATTGTAGGCAATTTGAAGCGTTTCTCTATGAGCAATTAAGAAGACTGCAGGGAAGACCAACTACTCCAGACTTTTGCACAGAAGCCAAGCAATGCACGCAAAAAACTCATCGTTGTCATCACGCAACCAGTGCTTACACTTCTATTCCAATATATACCTACCGTATGTTAATATTTTATCGCATTTGGGTATAACGCGCATTATTTTCGAGATGTCTTCATTCTACAATTACGCTCATATTTAAATATATAAAATATTCAAATAAAGGTTTAAAGAAAACATTCTTATATCTTTTCTCTTTAAACTATGTTCTTGTTAAAATAATTACTCAATTTTTAAAATTTATAATTGTCTATATATGTACATAAAGCCCGAAAAGAGTCAGTTTCTGTAATGTGAATGTAGATTATAATTGCAGTAGGTGGAGGCGTCCCAGATCGAGCGGACCATCTTCCGAAAATAGAGAGTCGCGGCAGAGGGCAGATGACGGTAACAAAATGAAGAAAAACAAAAATTGAAACTAATAAATCTGTTATCACGAATAAAAAATATTATACATTGCTCAAAATTTAATCTTGATTTGTGATTAAAATAAATTACGACTTGTTAATCTCTAATGTTTTAATCTCTAATGTTTTAAGCTGCATATTGATCTCTTTTTATATATACGTTATTCTTCGTCTTTTAGGTGGAAGTGACACACGGAGAGGAAAAACAAGTGATCGCTCTTCCGACTGAGAAAATGGATCGTACTAAAAGATATTTCGTTACATTTACTGTAAGAGGTGAAACGCAAGACGTCGAGAGAGCTAAATCATCCACGATACAACGAAATGCAAAGAGTGTTTAAATATTTCGAACTTTTCTGATGTAATCTCATTGAACAGTAATTTTCTTGGAGAAAAAGCGATTAAATTGATATAAGAATATGTAATCTGAGTCACAGATAAAAGGACATTTTCTATTATTTCATGTAAAATTTTGGAAACATTAACAGTAAAGACAATTTTCACGTACGTTTAAAGAAGTATAACACTACATTTAAAAGTGTAGTGCAACAGACTTAATGTTTTAATTTGTAAAAATATAGATTGTAATAATTAATGTATATTGTGCTTTTTGCTTTTTTTGTGAAGAAGTTTTCTACCTTAGATATATTCATTTTCGAAAAAAAACCTGAGCAGGATATACGTTTTTCTTAAACCAAATATTCTTCGTGAGAATTTGCTTTGCGCACAAAAATATAATATAAGAAATATATTAAAAACTGCCAGAGACGAGATCAATTTTTAATTTATAGATAAAAAGAGATAGAATCAAAATTTATAGATCGATTAAAAACTAAAATGTGGATATTGTTAAATTGAATTGTATTGTATATGCATTATTTATATATATATATATATATGCATGTATATTTATATTTTTTAGTAAAAATGATTATAGTTTCGTACCTGAATAACTGCAGTAGTTTGTAAATTTTCCGCAATCGATTCATCGAGGAAAAAAGAAAAAGGTAGAAAATTAGAGCGCTGTTTTATCCCGAATATTGCGCTAAATCCTAAAAGTTAATCTTTATATGAGAAGAATTTGTTGCCATGATATACAAAGTTACAAATGACGAATTTATTTAATAAAATAAAATATACATATATATATCCGACTTATAATCCGTGTGTTCCCTAGTTGTGTAAAATAATGTTCTGTATAAAAATATGAATAAATATATGTACAATCATTATATGTATACGAATTCGATAGATTTGTATTTGATTGGAATATACATATGACAAAGCTTCACATAACATGCTTCTTGTTTCTCGATGATAAAAGTAACTTAAATTATTGCATTCAATTTTCACTTTAATAATAACTTTAATAAATTTATCAGATTAGTCACGCTCTATCTTTATCAATTTGAGAGTGACTTAATTATTATGAACATAAAGTTATTAATACTAATTTTGTATCTACGTTGCTGAGGAGTCCAAAGAGAGTTATAACGTTCGAATAAAGAAGACATCATTCCACACAACTACTGAGTATTAAATTATTTCACAAATAATTTGCACTGTCCATTTGTATTGACTGTCACTAGCTTGCTTTTATTTACCTGTAAGTTTTTTTTTTTAAATTCTGAGAGTCCGTTTTGTAATTATTGATGTATATACGGGTATGTGTAATAAAGAATCAATCGAATTAGCGAACGCGGGTGAGGCAGCTATTGCAAGCATTAGCTTAAAGGATTATCGATCGGTTGGTTGACGTGGTTTTAGGCATAAGAACAGTCGTGTGTGTAGTGAAAATCCGTTTCTCGTTAAGAACCTATAGTGCCACCGTCCGCCTTGGCAGAAGGCTATGTCAACAATGTCGACGCGAAATAAATCCGCGATGGTCACCACAGTGTTTGTCGGGATGCAATATGAACATTTCATTCGTAGCGTGAAAATCCTGTGAGAAGCCTGCGAATGGACAAATGGCTTCAAGATAGGAAGCTCTGGCTATTCGGTAGCACGCTACCATTGCTACCAAGAAGGTAAACACTAGATTATTATCGAAGCAGCGACATCGTTAAAACACGCAAACGTACGTTCGAATTAGTGAAATACTTATATTTTCGAATGTATTTTTCAATAAATATCTATTATTTTGCAAGAGTTCATTCTGGTATTTGATTTTTCTTAACACCTTTGTGTAAACAGGATTTTTAGTATTCATACTCTATTAGCTCCAAAATCTGATTGTCCATTTTTTTTTTAAACCTAAAAAAGACAGAGATTTTTTTATAAAGATCCAAAGGGGTTGTAATCTGTTTACTGTATTTTTATGCTCACAGTTCATGCTTCATTATTGTACCGCAGTTTATATAATGCTATAATAGAAACGAATATGAAAGATTTGCCGAAGAGATTGAATCTGACGGCTACGATTAGCAATGACATTTATGTTATCGTCTGTCATCACGGGAAACGCGTGTATAGGGCGCATGTATTATCTAAAAGAGTCGTATTTCCATATTTTCACGCCTTGTATCATATGTAACATTCACTGTAGTGTACTCCGTCCAACAGTTGAAAATATTTTGACCTCTTTCACGGTCAGAATATATAGGCGTTCACTCAGAGAACGTATATATAATATCGATTTTCAATAATCAAGAGTTCAACAATAACGTAAAGCCGCCGCTTTCTTCAACGTATTAGTACTGTCCGGTATGTTCGCCAACGAGGGTGACCTAACAAGGGTACTTCATGAACTCTATACTTGGGTTTTTGTACGTAACTGTTTCTATGTTCTTTTATCCACAATATGTTTTTTTTTTCCTTCAATTGTGCTCATCGAATATCGTCTCTAAATTGGATTCTTTAATGATCGAATCTTCAAAGTTGAGAATAATTACGAAAAGTTATTATATGAATAAGATATTATTATCATCTCATTCGCTCATTCATTCTCAATATTTCCCATGCATACACAGCACCAAAAGTTTTCAGAAATATTTCAGAAATATTTTAAATGAAAAATAAAACATTTTATGAAAGTTGCGGAATATGTTTGCAACATTTCTGAGACAACTCTGGAATAGCAAAATGTCCGCGATTCTTACACATGAAACCTTATTGAAAGGTCACAGAAAGAAATTGCAATCTTTTTGAAATATTATCAAAAAGTTACAGAAATAGCTGAAACCTTTTCGAAATATTGCTTACCGTAATTATTTCGATCAAGAAGATTATGGTCAGCAATTAATATTTCAAAAAGGTTTCAGCTATTTCACCTCAGAAATGATATTTAAATACATATTTAATTGATACTCTTAAGTAATATTTAAATTTATTATGTTCATATAATAAATTTAAATACTGTTATTATCAATTAAAAATAATATATTCAAAGGTCATTTCTGAAAAGTATTTAAAATTGATTAAAAGTTTTATATCTGTTTACAGATTACAAAACTTATTATTGAAATAAACTTAAAGTATTTCTCAAAAATGATAATTAAATTTATTATATTCGGAAAACTATAGTATAAGCAACTAAAACGTTATAGATACAATAAATATTATGTATAAAATATAGTATTTTAATTACATGATTTTATTTAGTACTTGTAATCTCATTAAAATATAATAAATATGATTTCTGAAATATATTTAATAAAAATAATGCATTATATAAGACAATAATATTTTATTTGCCTAACATCATATATTCATTACTGCAAAAAAATAAATTTTCACGTCCATATTTTGATAATATTAATTTTCTTTTTGTAAAATAACTTTTTTTCCGTCTCAATAATATATTGTTATATGTATAATAATAAGGATGTATGTATACGTATATACTATATATGTATATATAATCATTATTAAAAAATCATTATCACACCTGAAATTTCCACACAATATCATTATTTATATCCTATGTATGTACAAAGGTATTTTTACAATTAAGTGGAACAACACAATAACATGTTTTAACGTCAAAGTGACGTTAAATCGAATCGTCATTCATCTTTTACTGAACATTTTGAAGCCATTTTAACATCAGTTTAATGTCACGATAAGTTTTATTCTGTTTAAATATGTTTTTCAATTTATTATTGTAGATTTTAAAAGCATTTATGTTAAAACATTTCATGTAACATGTTGCAGAATCTCTTTAGAATTATTACACATGAAAAAGTTGAAACATTTCTGAAAACTTCGTGCAACAATCGGACATGTGACATACATATGTTATAGAATTTAGATTCAATCACGTGTGAATCATTGAAAAATTTTAATTTTATTATTGCAGAATTATAAGATAGCACTTGTGAGAAATGTCACGAATATATATTAAAGATTACATACGTACGCGCGCGTGGGACACACACAAGTCACATTAAAAAAAAATTTTTTATCAGTACAATTTTACTTACATAAAATGATTTTATCTGTAATAAATAAACGTTACAAATGAATGATTTTAACTTTTCAATATTTATAACGTTCATATTAATGTTTTTTTTTTTTTTTTAGAAAAATAGTATAATATGTTATACGCAAATATTCCGTAAGATGATTTTGTTAAAACGATTTTAAATATGTTACACTTTGCTTTTTCTTCAAGATGCTTTTATCTGAAAAGAATTAAATACTGCGATATTCTATTTTTTCTTCTACTTTTTAAACAATTTTATGCGACTGTTGTAATAAATGTAAATTCCAAAAATAGAGCGCACTTTTTTAAATATACCAAAAAAGTCGTGAATGTGATTATATAAGAAACTGTAAGGAATATATATTATTAGTACGAGATTTCTTTAAAAAGTAATTAAAAATATAGTAGATAACACTTTAATTAAAAAATTCTTTATAATATATTTGCAATCTCTTGAAAGTATACATTCGTGAATTTAGCTATTTAACAAATGTGTTTTAACAGTTTTTCATGTTTCTCTGTAATATACACATAACCTGGTCAAACGTGGTTCAAGTTCTCTATTCATATTCGTTGATTTACATTCATATCTGGATGCAGCAATTAACTTTCAAGATTAATTATACATACGGTTTACATCAGAAATTATTATGTCACATTATTTACTCGCAAACACATCGGTACGATGAACAACGTGAGGTTTGCAAATTATCGACAATGCATACCACAGTGGTAAGAGACTTTTAATTTAATTCTCCAAATTCGAATCAATTAATTATGAAGAAGATATATATTTAATAACGATATATGAAATAACGTAATCCTATGGAGTCTGTTTAATCATCTACAATAGTTCAGTAGAAATGATTTCTACTAAATCGATATTGTACACACATCAATCAGCTGAGTGTTAAATGT